GCGTCGCCGCAGCTGGCGAGTGGCAGCATGGGGGTGAAGCCAGCTTCTTTGGCGGAATTGACCCATGAAAATCTATCGACTCGATGGCGAGCAGCAGCGTGGGGGACAATTCAGCAAACAAATCCCTAGTTGATTTTAACTTTGACGGCATTGTTGATGCGAGCTGCGATGTACTTGTAGTCATCCGACGATCCACGCACGAGCATCGCCCCATGCTCTAGTGGCCGATGGCCACACTCCTTCTGTTGCTGCACTTGTTCCCCTTTTGCTGCTGCTCCCATCCCCCTTCTGCTGTGCTCCCCATCCTTGTGCAGGTTCAAGAGCTGATTGAGAGACTTCTGGTTCGAGTGCGGGCGAGACGAGCGGGACGGTTGAGGTGTCATGAACGGTGAAGCCACAGTGGCCAAGCGTTTCGAGGTTGGTCTTGTCGCGATGGTGCCACTGGGTGAGAGCGACGGCGTGCTGACTGTCACCACAAGAAGACTTCAGGGAGAAGCGAAGAACCGAGATGTCATCTTGGATCTCGAGAAGTCCATGAAGTTGCTCTCATCGACTTTCTTGGCTCCCATGTATGGTCTAGTAACCATGCGGCCAGCGTCACTGATACAGTGAATGCCGTCTTCCATCAACTACCCCTGAGAGAGGAGGTTGAAGTCGAGGTCGTCGACAACGAGTACCTTGATTAAGTGTAAGGAAATGCCTGTATCGCTGGACTCGAGTAGGGCGTTGCCAAGTGCCATTGCTATTAATTCTTGGTTGTTTGCCACTGTGATCGTATACCTGTCACGTTCTGAGCTTTCCAATGAAGAAGGTATCGTGAAGACGACGTCATGTGGTGCCCGTAGTAGCTGCCGAGGAACCACGTATTGACATCGTGGGATAATTCCGCTTCGTGTTGTGGGCGTACAGCTGCACGTTGAGAGTGCGCAAAATGGCTTGGCATTCAACTTCGGCTTCCTCTTCATCGATTTTGATCGGCTCTGGTGGCGTCTCTGGTCGCGGGCACGGGCGCTCGGTTAGATACGCCAGTGGCTCATGTGACCCTCGATCACCTTCAGGGTCACTTACTTCACCATGAATTGCCCATTATTGTATGCTGGCAGTCCAATGTGTGCCGACCATGAACGATCGGTCATGTGTGATGTGCAGGTCACGACGAGAAAGATGCAATAGCTGGTGGTTAGATAGTGTGCCGTGGCACCTAGACAACACCTTACGGGCGTCTCAGCTGAGCTTCTGCTCGACAACAGTCTTTCAGCTTTTTGCATTCATCAATGAAGTTGATGGGTTTGTTGCATAACTTGCAGAAGGGCTGTTTTTCGATTCTCCCCTTGTCTAACTCCGTCATTCTTTTGTCCAGTGTGAAAACTGTATTTCTTTGCATCTGTTTGTTGCCTGTGTTGTACAGATCCATGTCTTGCTGTTTGGCAATGGATGTTCCGTGAAGCGCGCTCTCCGTGATATTCCCCTTGTGTGCACTGGAAGGCCTTGCACATGTGCCAGTCGGGGCCGAGGCTAGCAAGGAGTACGGTGACAAATAGCTCGCTAGGGAAACTCCCACCGCTCCTGAGGTACTGGTCCGCAAGTTGCCGAAGCGATTGGCATAGCTTCTGGTCTTCTTGTTGGAGCATCTGAACCAAGTTTAGTTGGTGTAGAAGATTGCTTCGTGTCACACTATCTTGTGCCGGGTATACCTTGGAGAGGTTGTCGCAGGCATAGTACGCGGGGCGAGCATGCTCGTGAAGGGTCACACGGTTATGCTCTAAAGAGGAGAGGTCCCCCATCAGTAGTGTGTAAGCCATTAGCAAGAGTCGAGAATGATGCCCTTTTTCCTTTTCTGCTCTATTTCATGATATTTGATGGAGCTATGGAAGTAGCCTCAGACTGCACTGGTAGCTCAAATTCAAAGGACCACGTAAGGAAGTCCGTTGAAGGCACTCGAAGTCTGCAGCTTCGAAATAGTGAGGAAGCCTGCTTGGTTTATGACTAGTGGAGGGTTGTTGTTGACTTGCTGTTGGTGTTTTGTTGTTGCTGCTGTCCGAGTGCACGGCCGCCATGGAAGGTGAAGGAGCTCGCGGACCCTTGTTTGGGCGTTGGAGGCATAGCAGCTGCAGCACGTGTGTAGTTTGAGCTGTCGATGCACATAGTGTTACCTTAGGAATAGGATGAGGTCTCAGTTGTCTGCTCGTTTCATTCATTACTGTAGTGAAGTCAGCTGTAATCTCCTCCTGTCCAAAAATATGCGAAGTAGTGGGATGGCCGAAAGGCCCTTTGCCCGACATGGAGTAAATATTTGTTTGATTAATTGCTGAATTGATGATGCTTATAGCTGAATGCAACTGAGGAGCCCAAGGCGAGAGTTGTGGGTTCCAGGGAAAACCACTCGCTCAAAATACCATGTAGAAGTAATATCCCCGTATTGAGATTAACCAAACAAGTAGGATTCTGTGAAACCCAGGAGAGTTTGAGTCAGCGGAAGACTTAGAGATCCTACTATGAGAACATTTTATTAGTGCAACATGTATAAATACTACGAGTGTTTATTATGAAGTAACCTATTTAAGAAACCTCTGACGAAACCTCTTCTTGTAGCCTCATGTCGCAACTTCTCATTGCAACCTCTCGCTGCACTTCAAACGTTGACTCGGGTGGTTGTTGTCACCCGCTCACGTCCTCTATATGAGGTAACGCAGCATAGTAGATCTGCGTGTCAGGCCCAAAGATTGGTTTAAGGAGGGCTGATGACTCTGGGTCGCCCTTGTGACTGCCCATAGTTTTCATGGTCGGGGTCTGGCTGTTGTCACGCCTACAAACTTTGAAGTCAGACGAGTCAGGCCTACGCTTTGAGCAATCCTGTTTTGGGTTGTGTTTTTCCTGTTGTTGAAGACGAGCAGGCAACCACGTTTCTAATATTCATGGGCAATGATCCTTTTGCCGCTGCTTTTACATGGCTCTTATACATGGGCACCACATTCTCAACTTCGCTGCTGCTGCAGTTGCCACAGGTCAGAGTTCCTCTTCAATGCTGCTGCTCCTCACTCATCTTTGTCGTATTTTACTAAACTTAGTCAAGGACCAATCACGCCAGAGACCCATGTTCCAGGAAAGCTTCAGTGCTGCAGGTAAATTCGGCTAAGGACCACCCGAAACTCTCCTCTCACATACTCTATCGCAACTCCATTTTGACAAGTGATTTTGGTCGACCAATCACGCCCCTCACGCATGCTCCAGCATGCAGAGTTCGGTTCGGATTCTGACCCCATTCCAGGCGTAATAACCACCGTGGGGCGGGGAAGGGGAGGGTGAGGGAGGGATTCTGTTTCAAGAAGAAGATTCATTAAGGCTGATTGATCAGGTACACGAGATAAGGGGCGTGTTCCTACGTGACACGATGTCAGGCTACATCGTGTCATTTTGGGATTTTGGCCGTCAAATTCGCCTGTAAACACAAATTTGACACGAAGCAGCCTGACCTTGTCACGTAGGAACAGGCCCTAAAATGAGAACCCCTTAAAATTAGGACAAGGGAAAATCAAAACCTGAAAAAACATGTGACCCCTGGAAAACACCCTGATATACAGCCTTTCAGACCTTTTTGGCCTGACTTCTGTGGGCCTGTGCGCGTACTATGTAAGAGTTAGTGCGCTACTTACTGTAGGAAGGGTGGGTCGGTGCCGCCTGTCACGAGAGCTAGGTAGCTGGCGTGAGGGTTTAGCTAGGAAAAAGTTACGAGAGAAATAGAGAGAGAGAGAGAGAGAGAGAAGAGAGAGAGAGGAGAGAGAGAGAGAGAGAGAGAGGAGAGAGAGAGAGAGAGAGAGAAGAGAGAGAGGAATGAGAGAGAGAGGAGAGAGAGAGAGAGAGAGACTAGAAAGAGAGGGATACAAGGAGGGGGTTGTACCTCTACAGTAGGTTTTCAGTAACACCTACCAAAGCCTACCAATAATATATCAAAGATATAATTTAACACACCCTCTAGGCCTTGGTAAGCCGAAAGCACACCCACACACCCCCTAAATCTAGCACGCCCTACTCAGTAGCAGCAGACGGCTACACCAGCCCGGTCAAAACCCCTCAACTCGGGAGGCGCGACGTCCGACAGCGAGGGCTGCGGCGGCGACGCGGCAGCGGCGGCAGCGTCGACAGCAGCGGCGGCGGCGGCGTGCGCGGCGTGGCCCCAACGCAAGCGGCAACAGCGGCGGCGGCTTCGACAACAGCGGCGGCGGGGCCGGTCTCCGCGACGGTGGGATGGCCAGCGGGAGGCAGCCATTGGCTGCGCGAGGAAGAGGGAAGCAGGGGAAAGGGGGGGGGGGGGCGGCGGTGTGGTCCCGCATCACGCACGTGGCTGGCGTGTGGCGTCAGGACTGGCGGCGCCTCAGACGTTGCGCAGCCGGCTGGCGCCCGACGACGCCGCCACTGCAGCATTACGACGCCGCACAGCGTGGCGTCGATGCCGCGGCGGCACGTCGGAGCTGCGACGGAACTACGACGCCCGTCGCCGCGGTGTGGCGTCGACGCCACGCGTCGGGGCTGCGACGGCAGCACCACGGCGCCGTCACTGCAGCGCGGCATGGCCGCAGCGGCGGCACGAAAGTAGCGAAAATGACGACGACGGAAGTACGAGTACGCGGCGGAAGCGTGGGGAGCAGGCCCGGGAAGGGCAAGCTGCTCTGTTACCATGTCACGAGAGCTAGGTAGCTATGAAGCCATGAAATGGCGTGAGGGTTTAGCTAGGGAGAAAGTTACGAGAGAAAAAGAGAGACACTAAAAAAGAGGGGGTTGTACCCTCTACAGTAGGTTTCAGGAACACCTACCAAGCCTACCAATAATATACCAAAGATATAATTTAACACCGCCATGGTGGGTTCTTATAGACGCGAATGCTGAATACAAGATAGATGCCTTATAGAGGATCTTAGATCTTCTACTACAAGGGAGTCTTGTATCCAGGCTTTTACGTACCATTCATGTGAGAAGTTGGTGTAGATTAAGAGCCTCTGCATGAAAGCCCACCCAATAAAATTCATCGTTTTGATACACTTATGTTTGACGCCTAACAAACTTTGGCTTGTCAATATGGTCCGGCATGGACCGAGAAATTAATATCAAAACGAGCTGAAGAGCTGCCTGAGCAAAGAAGAAGAAATGGTAGTCGAAAGGAAAGAACCCTTTACCGCTGATACTCCATGCAAACACGGATGCACCAGCAGCAGGTGCCATGGCCCTGAAAAAGAGGTTGATGCTCTGTGTGATGCCCGTGACAGCACCAAGCATGGACGGGTCTGTGATGCTGTTGTTGATGAAGATGAAGCCTGATGTGAACACACACTGCGCAAAACTGCACCCATTCGGACACACACACACACACACACACACACACACACACACACACACACACACACACACACAACACATACATGAAGTACACAACACATACTAATCACAGCACAGGTACGCATCACACGTTCAAAAGTCAATGTATCCTGTATAAATGCATACCTCCGCATGGCCAGGGAGAGGCAAGCAGCAATGGCGGTGGCTTGACTGCCATGGCCGAACGCGCGGATGAAGGGAAGCCATGTGACTATAACGAAGCCAACTGACAGCGACACCTGATTGGGTGAAGTCACATGGCAAATGATGGGCAGGAGAAGACATAGCAGCAAGATAGTCCACATAAGAATCCGCCCGGGAGAGACCCCAACCTGAAATGGCGTCGGCATAACGTTCGGGGGAAACTTCCAAACCAGACCACTCACACGAACAAACCAACAAAGCCGTAGGGATCACCAGAGCTGCAATATCAATCCCGAGCATTAACCACCTGAGCTACAGTATTAACCACCCGAGCTACAGTATTAACCACCTGAGGTACAGTAGTGCTCACCTGGACGGCCCCACGAGCACCCACTCTGTTGACAAGCGGAGCATACACGTATAACTGGAAAATAACCTGACAGAGGATTGAGGGATGAAGGGCATATGAGAGGGAGGGGTTGCGAGAGAGGTGGACACGAGAATGAAGGGAGCGCAACATGATCCCTTGCTTGGCAGTACTCGATATGTGCTGAGATTGTAAGTGATGCATGTTTTGGAATTGTCCATGGCAAGTCTAGTGAATGAAGTTATAGTGTGCTGAGAGTGTACGATTTGCACAAGAAATCTCTTCAAATCTGTAGCAATTCAGGAACCTACAGAGCATATTCCCGCGCAGGTTTGGGCCATGGCTACTTGGTTCGTGCCGAAGCTGAGCCCTCCGAACCTCCAATCAGTTAGGCTCCAGAGAGGAAAGACCTGGAAGAGGAAAGGACGTGGAAAAAGAGACTCAATGATAATGCACATTTCTGCACCCGTTATAACCATCCCAACGTTGCAAATGCTGTTTCTTGATTCACTTTGATACCTTACAATCTGCACCTCCCTCATTTTAAGCATGCAGCTTCCCTCACACGACCACACGGGTTGCACCCTGCTCATAACCCCATGCCGCTGGCGCTGCAGCTTACCTCGTTGAATGCGGTGGTAGCGAAGCTGAGCAGCGCCAGGAAGAGAAAGGCCTTCACTGGGAGGGATGATGATGGTGATGGTGATGGTGATGGTGATGGTGATGGTGATGGTGATGGTGATGGTGATGGTGATGGTGATGATGATGATGATGATGATAGTGATAGTGATGGTGATGGTGATGGTAATGGTGATGGTGATGGTGATGGTGGTGGTGATGGTGATGGTGATGGTGATGGTGATGGTGATGGTGATGGTGATGGTGATGGTGATGGTGATGGTGATGGTGATGGTGATGGTGATGGTGATGGTGATGGTGATGATAGGGAGTGGAACAAAGATGAGAGGGGAAAGGGGGGTTAGGGAGGCAGTTATAAAAGCTGAGCATGGCAAGGCAGTTATCCCCCCCATTTCAGTAAAGGTCTTCACAGGGAGGATGCCGATGAGAGGGGGTTTTGGATGAACACAACGAAACAAGGATCATGATGCGGAAAATCTAGAAAACGATGGTGGGAGCGGTGAGCGCTGTGCATACAAGAGTGGTACCTGTGGCGCTGTCAAACAGTGCCTGCGCCAGCTGCTGCCCACAGAGAGGTGAGAAGAGGCCCACAGGGGAGAGAGACGGGTGGGGCAGGCAGGAGGGCAGGCAGCAACAAGACAGCTGTGGCAGGCAGGAGCAGAACCAAGAGGAGCCCCCGCAGAAGGCGCCAACACCTCCATCACTGTAACGCCTTCCTGCATGTCGTTCGTCTTCTTCCCCCCCTGCAGAGAGTAACGGCTCTCTCAGGTGTTGTCCGTTCAGGTGGTCCTTCAGGTGGTCCTTCAGGTGGTTCAGGTCCCCCCTGGCTCTGCTGCCATCCCTATAGTCGGCCCGGTCTTTATCATACTCTCCCCACCCTTCTCCTACTCCTCCTCCTCCACATCCTCCTCCCCGCCCCGCTCCCCCTTTCCCTTCACCCTCACACGCTTGTCCCACCGTACCTTCTCCCATGCTCGCAACTCCACTCCCCTCAACCCCCTCCCTCTCGCTCCTCCCCCTTGGCCCCCGGCTGCATGCGCTCCCCCTCTCACGTCTCCACTCCCTGCTCGCCTCTCACTCCCTTGCTGCCCTCCCTGCCCCTGCGCCACTTCATCACCCCCCCTGCACTCACACCGTTTGCCTTCTCTCCCTCCTTCCCCTCTCTCCCACTCCTCCTCCTCCTCCCCTTCGTCTCTCTCCTCTGCTATTGACTGCAACAGAGGCTGGCTCAGGCTCGACCTTCGGCTTCCACTGTCACTGCCACTGCTCCTGCTGCTGCTGCTGCTGCTGCCGCAGCTGCCACTGTCAACTGAGGCCACTGTGACTCTAATGACGGTCGTCTCTCTGCGGCCACCACTTTCTGCTTCAACACTCCTCATCGCTCCGCCCTCGTTACTACCACATTCCTCGATATCACAATGCTTATGACCATGCAGATCACTATCTCTGTCCACCACAGGGTGCGCCCACCCCTTGGTCTCCCACAGCAGGGCAGCGGTGGCATCACTGCCACTGTTGCTGCCATCATTGAAGCCCCCACTATTGCTATCGGATTGAAGGTCATCGTCGATGTTGACCACAGGGCGCGCCCACCCTTGGTCTCTGGCAGCAGGGCAGCGGTGGCGAGGAGGCCGAGCAGGGAGAGCAGGGCGAGCAGCAGGCAGGGCAGGAGGAAGGGGAAGCGCCCGAAGAGAGAGCGAGGCGGGAACAGCCAGGGGTACTTCACTGCTGGCTCGCAGAGGAATCCGCCCAGCGCTGGACCTGTGGGGGATAGAATAGGATGGAGGAGAATGGGTGGATGCATGGACACGAATGGGCATGTGCACCGGAATTGATCAAGGACGACGTCAGCAACAGCCAGGGGTACTTGAGTGCTGGCTCGCACAGAAAGCCACCCAGCGCTGGACCTGTGGCGAGGGTGAGGTGGGGGGAGAGTGGGCGAAAGAACGAACGTAAAGGAATACGGATCAATACACCAGCGCTTGAGTCAAGCAACAGGAAGGAAGAAAGGACGAAGCAGGGGTGCTTCAAGAGCCGCACAGAAAGACACCAACCCCGTGCTGCAAGTGTGGGTGGGGGAGTGAGGGGGTGGAGGACGGCCAGGGGTTATGGAGAGGAAGAGAGCCAAGGCGTGTGGGAAAGAGAGGAGAACGAAGAGAATTGGAAGTACACATGTGTCTAGAGTCTGTGTAGGGTGCGTGAGAGGTAGTGTGAGGGAGTAGAGTGTGTGAGAGTAGTGTGTGTGAGAGTAGTGGGTGTGTGGGTAGTGTATGCGAGCTAAGTGTGTGTGAGCGTAGTGTGTGTGGGAGTAGTGTATGCGATTTGAGTGTGTGAGAGCGTAGTGTGTGTGGGAGTAGTGTATGCGAGCTAAGTGTGTGTGAGCATAGTGGGTGTGGCAGTAGTGTATGCGAGCTAAGTGTGTGTGAGAGTAATGTGTGTGAGGAAAAGACAATAAGGGAGCCTGAGGCGTACCAATGAGCAGCCCGAGGCCAAAGTTGGTTCCTAGTAGGGCGAACCTGCAGGAGAGGAGAGGGAAGACGGGCAGGGATGCAAATGGAGTGGAGATTGACCAGGAATGGAGAAGAATGAAGCCATTGGAGAAGAATGAAGCCATTGGAGAAGAGCTGTTTGAGGCTCGGAAACGAAAGCTTGGAAGAAACGGAGGGATCGACTTAGAGAAGATAAGCAGTGAACGGGCCACTGCGGCAAAGACGTAGTTAAGGAATGCGACACTGGGTGTTGGGGAGGCAAGCAACGAGCAGGGCGTCCAGGCGACGCACAGAAGCAAAGCAGAGAAAAAAGGTTATTGCAGCAAAGACACCGAGAAAGAATGCGACACCGAGAGCGGGATAGAGGTAAGAGGCATCTCACCCTTGCGCCTGATTGGTGGAGTCACAAAGTTCGGCCACTGTGCTGCATGCAAGGGAGGCAGGCATGAGATGAAAGAGACTGACATCGCATGGCATAAGCAATTGCAATGCAATGGTCTACATGGCGAACGAGCATGGCAGAGTGGAAGGACGTGCCCAGGCTGAATGCCCAGGCTGAATGCCCAGGCTGAATGCCCCCCCAAACCCAGCAAGCGTTGAATGCGTGACGCACAAGGGAGGGGGGAGAGCGGCTCACGATCTTCCAGTGGCAGCGACGGTGGAGAAGAGCCCGTGCAGGAAGCGCACGAGCATGGCCCAATGGAAGGACGTGCACAGGCCGAACGCACCCCCGCACACCATGTTGGTCGCCAGACCGATTAATAACACTGGCTTGCGCCCCCACTGGTCTGACAGGATGCTGGGAGAAAGGGGGAGGGAGAGGAGAGAATAGATGCATGCGCACAGGCCCACATAAGGGCAGCCCCCCCACACCACGCTGGTCGCCAGGCCTATCAGTAAGACCACCTTGCGCCCCCACTGGTCTGACACGATGCTGGGAGGGGGAGGGGGAAAAGGAGGGGAAGGATGGGTGGAGAGGGACGAGGAGAGCTGGCCGGCACCATGATGAGATGGGACGGCCTGGCGAGGATATGCATACCCCCTCCACCCGCCCACTCGCCCTTTCCCTCCTCCCCCCCGCACACGCTCATGACACTGTACGTGGGAGTAACAGAGCACTGTACACGCACAGATAGTTAAAACGGGCGGCTTTCAGGGGTTCCCAGCGCACCAAGTGTGCGAAGATAGCTTTTGAGGCGCCTCAAAAGGCTTTCAGCGGTTCCCAGCGCACCAAGTGTCAGAAGATAGCGGGCTCATGATACTGCACGAGAACGGGCTGATGCTATTGGCTCGTAGGTGAGAGGAGTGAGGGGAAGCTGGCTGCTGGCAGGTCGCACGGTGGGGGAGCGAAAGCGCGGGCAGAAGGAAGCACACACTGGAGAGGAATGTGAATGTGGCAGGCAGGCAGGCAGCGACGAGCCCAATCAACGATATGACGACATGAACTCAAGCAGCACGCCCCACCCACCACCACCCCCTCCAACCACACAGCCCCTCCCCTTTCCCCCCTCGCCTCCTTTCCCCCATCCACCGCCCTCCCCCCTGTCCCCCTTCCACCCTCCCCTTTCACCCCTCGCCCCCCTTCACTCACCCCCAGAAGCTGCTGGTGAGCAGCGACCCGACGAAGTACGAGGAGCCCAGGTAGCCTGCATAGTAGCTGCCAGGCAGGCACACACATGTGATGTGAGAGCGGCTCAAGAATGTGTCGGTGAGAAGGTAATTCACGGTCTTGTCTGCTCGTCACTCGCCTCTAAAGCTCGCCAACCCCCAGGCGGGATAGCTCTCGCTGACAAGGTGCCAGCAGGAAGCTGCGGTATGCTGACGTGGATCAGCTGAGTATATGTGCGGACGTGGATATGGCAACCCGATCTCGCGTATCTCACCCGAGCTTGGTGGGGTCGTCGGTGACAGCAAAGCTAGCGACCATGAGAGGCAGGAAGGGGAAGAGGATGGTGGGCGCCAGGGCGTTGGTGAAATACATGATGCAGATCGCCATCACCGGGCCCCGAGGCAACGGGTTAGGCTTGGGAGGCTGGCTCGGCGCCATGGCTCGGAATTGCGTGTGGAATTCGCGAAGGCGTGGAGGTCAAATTCACCAGATATGGTGGACGAGTCGCCGCAAGCCAGTCGCCGCACGAAAACAGACCCCAGATCGCATTGCCTCGGGGATGTTAGAAGTAATTCAGGGGGCCTGGGAATGGTGGCTTGAGAGCTTGCGTGCGGTCGCGCGAAACCGCCAAGCAAGGCGCCCATCCAGGAGAACGGCGCATCTGTGGTGAATTGAGGCCTGACCTTTGCATCGACGAAATATGGTTGAGGGTGGAGGCCCGCCATTCGTTTCTACAGTGCGAAAGATAGACTGATAAAACAAAATATAATGTCTCAAAGCTTGAGAGCGTAGATGGACACCTTCCTACTAGAACGGATAGCAAGCTGAAATTAGCGACAAATTATGAGGGAGAATCTTTCCATGACTGTTGTTTTCATTTTTATATTCGGGTTAATGAGATTACATTATTTACATGAGGTACCAAAACAGCAGAATAGTAATTTCTGAAGTTAATTTCGCGTACATCACCAAATTGACAGATTCCGTTACTATGCCTTCAGAATTTTAAGAGGGAATGACGCGCTTTCGAAAAGGTGCGTTATTAATTCATGTGGTCATGGGCAGTTATCCCACAGAGCGCGTTTCCGATTCCCGCTGTCAGTTATTTTGTCATGGTACGGTTTTCACTGTGGCTGTACCATGTACTTTTGAATTTTGGCCTGCCCGATGTTTTCATATATAGCAGTCGTGTTTTGGTCGCAGTTGCACAGAACTCGCGTGCTGTGGGTTTTGGACGCATCCGAGCACTGTCAAACGAAACCGCCAGCTTTTCAAATCGCAGTGCTCGCAAACACGACTTGTGGACGTAGTACACCTGTTCTACTCTACACTTCACTGCATTTACCATCGCGGCTCGGACTGAATTCGTTTTTCTGGCTACCCCGGACAAAACGGATTGTAGCGGATATTTCCATAGTGAATTTTCGGCCGCTAGTATTTTGTTCTGTAAGTTATCGGGTGTCTTACTGAGTCACGAAACTGCGAACACCTCGACAACTTTTCCGCAGCACTTCGCATGGAATGTAAGGGTATCTGAAGTGCAACGCTATAGAGTGTCCCGGAGAATAAGTGTACACTCAATATTTTTTTTGTCGGAGCGGTGGAAAATGACAGCAGCAAAAGACGGGCAGTTTAGCCGAAAAAAAACTAAAACCCTTAGGGACCAGCCAAATCTTGCTGTTTCGTTTGACTCGCGCCATTCCGCGCACGTTTCATTGCCACAAAACGTGGGCTATATATATATATATATATGACCCACGTTTTGTGGCAATGAAAACGTGCGCGGAATTGGCGCGAGTCAAACGAAACAGCAAGATTTGGCATTCCAAATGTTTTGCCTTTATTCAAAGGACAAGATGCGCAGCTGGCGTCACTCCTGAAAATTGACTCCTGACCCAGATGTTTCTAAAAACATCCATAAAACAATTCCGAGAAAAAACTGACAGCGGAAATCAGAAACGCGCTCAGCGGGGTTCTGGTAACTGCCTGTGAAAACGAGAATCAAAAATGCTATTTTCGGGAAGCGCGTCATTCCCTCGAATTTCAAGCACACACACATTTCAGTTCCCCACACAGATCAAGCCAAATCAGCAAGCCGCTTGCCCGAATCACACAGTGCGGCTCGGGCTCCAGGCCTGGAGCCGTCCTCGTCGTGGCCTTTTCATTTTTGGCCTAGCGGCGTGGCACTGGGCAACAGCAATCTCGCGCTATTATTGGAGGAGGTTTCGTGGCGAGCTTCTGCCCGAGCCAGGCTTCCGAGCTTATCGAGACGGGCTAGCTTGGAAACGTGATTGTCGGTGCGCGCCGTTATCCAATCAGTACCGTCCATCTTTAGTGTCTCGTCTCGCCATTCACCTCCTAAATTTCCCTTGTTCCCCCAGCCTCCCACCACTTAAAAACACACACCGTTGCCCTGCCTTCCAAGCTCGCTTCTTCACCCCCTTCAGTTGTATCTCGCCCCGTCCGTCCCTACTCTTCGTCCACGGGACCCGCTTGCCAACAAGAGCACGAGCAGCAGCAACGAGCACCAAGAAAGAAACCACGAGCAGTTGTTCTTACACCGACTTGTTCGGGCCTCCTTTCAGTTAGTAGGGGTCTCTGAATCATTCCTAGTTAGGATTTCCGAGCATTGAAGCGGCCATATCACCGTTTTTTTTGCATGCCTTAAGCTTCTTTTTGGAAGCAACCGCTTTTGCGAGACTGGCCGCAGGACGAACACCTTTTCCCTCGTGCTGTGCGGTTTTTACCGCAGGCCGGTGCATGCGCGTCACGATTTCCCCCGTATGGAGTAGAATCGTCTCTTAGCAGCAGGATTCGAAGAAGGGGCATTTTTTTCCTTATTCGAGTTCTTCCTAGTAGCTACCAGCCAAAATGCGTCCCCATTCACGACCTTTCTCATGTGACCTCTCTTTAATACCAAATAGCATCGGAAGCAACGTAATGCCGTTATTCCTCCTATTAGTCACCCTTCACACCACCTCGCCAGTTAGACCAGCCGAAGCGGTCAAAACTGCCGTATATCGCCACGCGGCAGTACCAGGCGCGTTGCATCGATCGCAGCAAGACGCGCGATCGCTTATCGAGCTCCACGCGACCTTCGAGCTACAGCAACGGCAGCGGCAGCAGGAGAGGCAACAGTCGAGCGACCGGCCCTACCAGCAGCAGCGCGTGGGGCGGCATCTGCTGCAGTCGGTGCTGTCGCCAGACGGGTCGACCGTGGTCAATGCGACGGGGTCGGTTCTCGCGAATGCGACAATTCTTCTTGCGACGGATCGCACGCGTCGCATCAACCCGATCAACGAGTTCAAATACTACATCGGCGGGTGGAACCTGTCGTCCAACGACTACTGGGCCGTAAGTGATGGCCAGGAACCCAAGTTTACCAACTGTAAAACAGTTGGTTGGGACTAAAACTACTAATTGGCCGGCGAGCTGTAGGCACCAGTGAAATCGCCTGCGAGTGCTGCAATTCACGCACCCTCACGACACAAAACCTGTTTTTTCCCAACCAATTGTCAAACAATTGCCCCAGGTTCTAGAAACTTGGGTCCCTGGCTTTAAGTATCTTCCAGGTGACCACAGACTTCTTAATCGTTCCCTCCGCCTCGTCGCCCTCCACTCTCTACCACAGTCTTGCCACGCCCTACCGAAAACCAATCAACACAGGGACAAAATTACATGTAGCAAATTCAACATCGACACCTCGCCCCCAGGCCTTACCCCACACCCCCTCTGCCTCGGCCTCCCACCCCCCTGCCCTCCCCCTCACTTCCCTTTCTTCCCCTCTCGAATCCCCCTTCCGCTCCCCCCTTCCCCTCCCCCTCCCCCTCCCCCTCCCATCCCTCCCTCCTTCCTGCTCTTCTGCGTCGGCTTCGTCGCTTACCTCTCCCCTCCCCCGTTCTCCGCTTCCCCCGCCCCCCTTCCCCCAGTCCGTCACGTTCTCCGTGGTGTACGCGCCGGTGATCGGCTTCGCGTGGCTGCTCTTCGGGGTGGGCTTCGTGCTCTTCCTGCTCTCGCTCTTCGTCTTCTTCCGCGCGCGCTGGGACCAGATGCGCGACCCCGCCGCGCACGTGTACTCGCCGCAGCACATCTCGTTATTGCTATACGCGCTCATCGTGGGCGGCATGATTGTCATGTGAGGGAACTATTGGTGGGCAGGGTTTGTTTGTTTTCTGATTTCAAATCTGAAAAGGCATCTCGCAGCTGCTATACGCCCTCGTAGTGGGCGGCACGATTGTCATGTGAGGGAAGTGCGGTGGACGAGGGTTGCGTGGGGTCGTGCCACGAGGGATGTTTTGGGTCAGTTCCGCCCCCCTCTCTTCCGCGTGCCCCCTCTCTTCCCTCGCTTCTTTCCTCCATCGTCTTTCCCCGTCCCTTCCCCCTTCCCCCATTCCCGCTCGCTTCCTGCCGACCCCCTGATCTTGGATTTCCAATCAGAAACACCCTAACCCCTGATACTAAAGGCTCTTCCTTATAGTTGCACTCACTCCATCCCTTCCTTCTTCCCCTTTTTCGCTGTTGTTTGTAACTGTGTTGTGGTAACCCTATCGCAGCACGGGATTCGGGTTGATGATTGGCGGGAGCGTGCAGCTCAACGACAGGCTGGGCGAAATCGGCGACTACACGATTAGGGTTACCAACGCGACGACGACGGCGGTGTACAACGTGGCGTCGGCCATCCAGGTCACCGCGGGCACAAAGATCAACCAGCAGCTCTTACCGCGTACGTTTGCCCTACGCTGTCTCTTCGTCCTCCCTTCGTCCTCCCTTGGTCCATCATCCGAACCAGTGACTGCATGTGTGCTCCCTCGGCTCTCACCCCTCTCACATCCTCTCCTTCTGTCGTACAACTGAACCAAGTCCAACCGAGTGCGACCCCTCCCCAATCCCACCCCCCCCCAATTCGGCCCCTCATTTCGCCCCCCCAATCCCCCTCATTTCGCCCCCGATTCCGCCCCGCCCGTCCCCCAGCGGAGCAGCGGCTGCAGATCTTCGAGTTCTCCAAGAGGGTGACGTCAGCGGCGCTGGAGCTGAACGACGTCATCACGAACAGCGACACCGAGCTCCGCGCGTTCGGGAAGAGCATGTGCGCAAGGGCGGGGGGGGCGGGGAGGGAGGGGGGAGGTTGGGTGGGGAGAGGGAGGGGCGGGGAGGGGGGAGGTGGGGAAAGAGGGGCTGGGAAGGCGAGATCGGTTTTCCGTATCCTCGCCTCAATAATCCGACGCACTTGAGTGGTGTAGCATGTACACTCAACTCGTTGTGGCAACTTGCTTCAACGCAGCATCAACATTGCAACTCACCAACTCTCCTTTTTTCCACCATAGATGCGCAACAGCTGATCACCCACCAACAACTGCCATAACGTTGTCACCCTGAAACTGTGTGCAGTGTTTCCATGCACTCCCTTATACACTTCTTTGACATCCTTTTAGGTCCCCATCCATGGCAACCTCCCTCTCCCTCCTCCCCCTCCCCCTCCTCCCCATCCTCTCCCCCCCCCCCCCACGCCCTCTCCCCAACCGCCCTCTCACCCGACCCGTCGTTGCCCTCTCTGTCGTGCCATTCCCATCACGTCCGCCACGGTGTGTGTGGCGGGGTGCATCGCTTTCCCATGCCATCCCTTTCAATCTCTCCTCCCCCCCACACACACCCCCCCTCGCTTCCCCCATCAGGTCCACCACTGTGTTCGTGGTGGGGTGCATCGCCTTCGCCTTCGTTGTGCTCACCGTCGGTACGGATCCCCCTCCCCGCCACCCCCCTCCCCCCCTGCCCACCCTTCCCCCCCTGCCCTCCCTTCCCCCCCTGCCCACCCTTCCCCCGCTCCTTTTCCGCTCTTTCCCTCTCCTCTTCGCTATCCCTCTCTTCCCCTCTCTGTCTCTCTCGCTTTGATGCACATTAGAATGCATCCTCTCCTCGCTCCCTCTTGCATCAGCACGTGCATCTTTCATCCCCTTCCTCCTCCAATAACCTCCACTCCCTTTCCCTTCCTTTCCCCCTTCCCTTGCCCCGTCTCGCCTGCCCCAATTCTGCCTCCCAACCAGTGGCTGCCGTTTTCCAGTGGGCCACATTCTCACACGTGTAAGCTCCTTCACCAGCCTGCATGGCTGCTTGCCTGCATGCCCATGCTTGCCTTCTGAGGAATTTTTCAGAATTCTCAAACGCCAGATCTCACGGCATGATGCTTCTGTTTAATGCGTGCCGTGGTTCTGTACTGGAGCCCCCTCAAAGATGGGCTCATCATTCTGTGCGTGCCAGCTGCCTCCTCGTCCCTCGTTTCGCCCCATTCGCCGCTTTCTCTCACCTGCCTCCTTCATCCGTCTCCCAATCCCAAACCTATTTCTGTTTCCCTCTACTTCCTCTCTTCCCCCTTCCCCCCCCTTCCCGCCTCCCTCCCACCCCTTCGTCCCACGTCTCCCCTCATTCCCCCTTTCCCCCCCCCCCCCTGCAGCATGTGCACGCTCGTGTGGATCACAGCATTCGTCACATGGTGCATCGTGGCTGTCTTCCTCGCCGTTGTAACGTGAGTACCCAAGTTACCATTTCGGCATACTGGTAACCAGATTACCAGGCTATACCCTCCCTTGTGACTCCTTACTGTAGCCATCCCCCATGTTACACTCTAACCTAGACTGTTGTCTTTCTTTCCTTCCTTCTCCCGCCTCGCCCTCCTATCCTATTCTTCACTCTTCCTCCCCACTTCTTCCCCTTGCCCTTTTTTCCTCCAATCCCTTCCCCCCTTGTCCTCCCCATCCCTCCCCCTTGTCCTCCCCATCCCTCCCCCTTGGCCTCCCCATCCCCTCCAACCCTTCATCTCCTCCCAATAAACTTCCCGCCATTGCCCTCCTCCCCCACCCACCCCCCTCCCGTGCACACACACGTATCAGTGTGAGCGGGGACACCGAGTATGCAGTGAAGGACGTGACCCTCTACCCATCCCTCCACACCGCATTCAACCGCTGGGTGCCGTGCCTCAACGAGACCAAGCTGGGGGACGCCGCTAGGTTCGCCCGCTTCACCGCGTATGACGTCATCTCCTTCACCAACGGCGCCGTGCAGGGCATGTACCCCCAGGTAGATAAGAGGGGGGCACGGGGGAAAGAGGGGAGACACAGGGGGAAGAGGGGGGACACAGGGGGAAGAGGGGGGACACAGGGGGAAGAGGGGGGACACAGGGGGGAGAGGGGGGACACAGGGGGAGAGGGGGGACACAGGGGGGAGAGGGGGGACACAGGGGGGAGAGGGGGGACACAGGGGGGAGAGGGGGGACACAGCGGGACGATGGGGAAAAAGGGGAAAGGTGGGGGCATGGATTTCCGAGGAGGAGGGCTGCCACGTTGGCCCTCACTGCGTATGCCATCATCACTTTCACCAACGGTGTCGTCAATGGCAAGTGCCCTGAGGTGGGGAGGAAGGGTGGGAGGGGGGTTGACATTGGGGGGTTGAGAATCAGGAGCAGGGAGTGGGGGGTTGGCTACCTACCCTTTTCCTCTCCTCCCCCGTGACCTCCCTGTTCCCCGTCCTTGGCTCTGGGCTTTCTCCTCCTACTTCTCTCACCCCTCCCATCCTCCCCCCCCTCCCGCTCCCCTCCCCTCTCTCCCCCCAAGCAGCTCTTCCCCCGCCTGAACGCGTCAGCGGGCATCTGCTCGCCCTTTGGGCCGGGCCCTGACTACTTCTACAACGCGTCCGTCTGCCCGCCCAAATCCATCAGCTTCCGCCAGTTCAAGGAGGTGCGCCGCTGAAAAAAAGAAGAAAAACGTAGGCAGTTCTAGGATCACTTTTACTGTCTGAGGGCGCTTGTAGAAAACAACAGCTGGCAGCTGAACTGCCCTCGAAGTGCCAGCTGGACCGAACTGAACAGCTGGCACTTGTAGGGCCACCTCATGCAGTCTGAGGGGTAGCATCTAGAACGCCCCAGAGCTGAACTGTTAGCTGTCCAGCATCCGGCTGCTGAAATAAACGTCCCAGCCGGATAGAATGGAGAATCATTTGCGAACCGCTCACCCAAGGATCTTCCGCCCACTCATTTACCTTGTCCGTCCATAACCACTCTCCTTTGGCATCTGAGTCCTCCAATTCCCCCTCTGAGTCCTCCCCGCCCCACCCCTACCGTGCGCCCCTGCCCTCGTCCCCCCTTGTCCCCTGTGCCCTGCACTGCAACGTCTCCTCTCCTCTACAACCAGCCGTTGCCTGTGCTCCACCGGCCGTGCCTAAGCCCTGCCTCTTCGTCTCCTAGAATCCGAAAACCCTTACCCCCCCACCTGCTCCCTCAAAATCACCTGCCCTGACACCGGCTGCCCGTTATCCAAGGGCAGCAAGGCTCCCCTGAACCGCGTGCCGCGGGCAGCGTGGCCAAGGACCAGCTCACACGTGTCCCCTGCGTCTTCGTCCCCCTCTCTCACTCCAACCACCAGCTGCTCCCCCAAGTGACCTGCCCCGACACGGGGTGCCCTCGACCCAAGGGCAAGGCGCCTGTGGACCGCGTGCCAGCAGCAGTGGCCAAGGAGCTGCAGATGGCGTGGATGTCGGTGGACCGCCTAGACGGGTCTGTGCCGCTCGTAGCTGCGCTCACCAACTGCTCGCACGTCTCCAGTGTGGCGAGGGTACGTGGTGCTGGTGTGGTGAGGGCACATTCCGTGTGTGCGAGGAAGAGGTATTTGTTGCGCCCAAGGACCTGATTGTGCAGGGTGTTTTCGCGAATCCTCCAAGATCAGCACAATTGTGGCTAGGGTACGTGCTGCTGGCGTGGTGAGGGCACATATCATGTGTGAGGAGAGGTGGTCTGTTGTGACCACGGACCTGCAGATGGTGTGGATGTCGATGGATGGGTCCGTGCCGCTTGTTCCTAACCATCTGCTCGCACGTGGGCAGCGTGGCAAAGGTATGACACACTAGCGAGGCTAGGGTAGGTGTGAGTCAGAGGGAAGGAGGTGACCTGCTGTGGCCAAGGAGCTGCAGATGGCCAGGATGGGCTGACGCACTGTGGTCATCTCGTTCCAATCCCATCGCTCCTCTCGCCTTCCCCCTCTCCCCAACGGCAGCTCAGTAGTGGGCGTGCAGAATGCAGCAAGGCCTCCCATGGTGCTGGCAGTGGGGGTGCTATGGTTGTGCCTGGCAGCCTGGCGCTGCAAACTGTGCTTCTCTCGTCGTTCAACCCCTCCTCCTCTCTCTCCTCCCCCCCTTCCCCACTTCCCTTTCCCCCCCTCCCCCCTTCCCTCCCCCCCCCCATCAGTATGTAGGCGGGTCAGCATCGGGAGTGCAGAACGCCGCAACGCTGCTGTGGAGCGGGGCCATGGTGCTGGCAGTGGGCGCCATGGTGGTGGCCGTGGCCGCCCCTCTCTATGTCTTCCGAGCCATGCGGTGCCTGCCGGACGGGGACAAGGGGGACAGGTGAGAGGGCATGGTGCATGGGTGGATGTGGATGCATGAATGGGAGAATAGGCATGCATGCCATGCACTTGAAGCAAAGCATACAGCGCTGCATCCCAACTATGTACAGACTCATCACTGCGCCCCTGCTCCAAATCTCCCTCTGCTTCACACTAATTACCCTAAGTGCATCCTCCCCTCCAACACCCCCTTTTTCCCCGCGAACCGCACCCTACCCTGCACCCGTTGCAGTCTGTACAAGTCACACGATGCTTCAGGCCTACCCACAGCCGTAGTCGGACCTCCAGTCCTAACCTACGCCGCAGGCTCGGCCCAAGGCTACCCCCAGTCCTCTTCCCAGCCTTACCCTCCCCCCCAGCCACCTTACTCGTTCGCCCAATACACGGCTCCGCCAACCACCGACTCCCTCCCACCCCCCAACCAATCATACGCGCACACCCAAGGCCCAGAGAGCGCAGCTTTGCCCCGGGACGACTCCATGGCTCGAGACGAGTCCATGCCTCACGACCCCTCGTTCCCCCGCGATGCCTCAATCGTCAACGACTCCTCCCAGTCCGCCCTCATTCAATCATCCCAAAGCGATGCGTCCGGGCGGATAACTGTGTCCGCCCACCCAGATAGTACGACACAGCCTTTTGTGGGGCACCCCGGGGGGGGGCACGTGGGGGGAACAACAGCGAACAACAGTGGCCCGTACAACATGCCGACAGGGTTCGGTGCAAGTGGGTACGGAAGCAGCTATGGGTATACTGAGTTTAGGTAGTTGTAGGCTAACCCAAGTAATAAATTTTGACGTTAATGACTTCATATATATGTTTCTATGTTTGCCTCGTTGTGTTGAGGCACGTATATTGGTATAGGCAAACTCCTTTGACTCGACATTGTTTCAGTAAGAAAAGCTTCGTTCCATGGCCCGTAGTTGTATCGGGACGCATTAGAGCGCTTTCCCCAAACAACAGAACCACCTGAGCTGGGGGTTTCCTTTCATCGCTTCACCTGGGTGCGTGCGACTCCTGTTCCTACCTGCCCCTGAAACTGAAACGCACTGCCTGTGTCACCAAACCAGCCCAGACCAACATGCGGTGCGTCGAGAGCCCCCTTCTGATTGGTTCTTTCCTCATCGGGTCGGCTCAATGTCGCCGTTCAGCCCGGTCGGGGTTGCCTGCCTGTGTATCAGCGACTCGGATTTACAATCCGAGCCAGCAGCAACTCGACACAGCTTTCTTGGCTTCGCCGCTTCAGGTTAGGGGGCGAATGGCGCTCCCCCCATTGCTTCGGGTCTTGGCGGGGCAGGGGATCTGTCAGTTCCCGCTGGTCTCCCCAAGCCCGCCCCCAGCTCCCCTCACCACCTCCCCCACGCCTCGTCGCTTACCTTCAAGCTACCCTGTCCATTTTGTCGCAGCTTTTCGCCAAAACCAATTCCTCTGTGATCGGCAGTGGGTAGGCGACTGCGACTGTATTCTAGGCACCAGCGCCCGGTGCTAGAAGAAGCCGAACAGCCCCCTTCCGCGGTGCTACATGGCGGTCATGTTGTAAGGGGAAGAAAACATCTGCGCCTGGCGCGCCTCGCCGGTGGGTTTCAGTTCAGCCTTCAGCCTTCGCTAATCGCGAATATCTTGCAGCTTGCAAATCCTGATTTGTGACTGCCACCACCGTAACTAGAGCTCTAGTTGACCCATCAAGGCATATCTGAATACAGTATCATCTGTATACCCCTCTGTTCCCCCCATTCTCCTCCAGTCTCTTTTCCGAGCCTCGCTCGACTTTCCCTCCGTACCTTGCTTTTCCCTCGTAGAAGCATCACCCACGCCAAATACTCCCTTCGTGTAAGCGAGCCCCAAATCCCCTCCCGCGCCATGTTGTTCGTAGCGCCCGACCCCATCTCGCTCGTCGTGAGCTCGGCGACGGGCCTCGCGGTCTTCGTCAGCCTCTTCACCTCCTACCTCAACCCCTGGGACGACGGCGACGACGATCAGCTGCGCTGGCATTTCCCGCCAAAGGAGGGCGCGGAGGCGCGTCGCGTCCGCTGGGCACGCCATATTCGGCAGAGATTAAAGACGCTGGTGCCGCGCGAGGAGCGCGTGCAGGGCAAGGCGCCGTGCACCGCGGAGCAGCTCATCCGCGAGATTCGCTCCGCGCGTAAGGGCAAGGCGGGGCTTGAGTCTCGGCTACCGGCAGCGGCGGGGACGGCGACGGAAGCGGGGGAAAGCGAGCTTGTGCGGCTGGCGCTGGTGCAGCTGCTGGTAGAGTCGGGCCCGCCGCCCGCGCTCTGCGCCATACCGGAGGCGGAGGACGACACGGGGGAAGCGGAAGGCGACGGGGAAGAAAGGGGGGACGATGCGGAGGAAGCGGATGCATGGGGGGAGGCGGAAGAGGCGGAATGCGACAGAGCTGTTGACTCCGCGCTACTGCGGAAAAACAGAGGGTTGAGCGGAAGTTCGTGCGTGGGTTGCGCTGGACCGGGGGTGGCGGCGGACTTTCTGGAGGCGGTGGCGGAGATGGAGGGCGCGGACCCCGTGTTCGCGCTGGGCTCGCGGTATGCCACGAGGCGGGTGGTGCGGGAGGCGCTGGGGCTTCTGTCGAGATGACTTATGTGTCGACTCGAATCGACTCAAACGCCACAAGGCGGGTGGTGCGGGAGGCACTGGGGTTTCTGGCGCGAAGTGCATCTTCTTCTAGCGACGGCTGATCCGACCCGTAGCTCTCGCTCGTCTCCCCGGCCTGTCGCACGTCGCACGCGTGTCGCCCGACACAAGTCAGCGACTGTCGCAGGCGAAAGTGGCGACTGTCCGCGCAGGAGGCGGGCGCACGTGAGCTGCAGCGCTGCCTGGTAGCTTGAAATGGTACCAGAGGCGTTCATGGCAGCGCCACGAGCTGGGGGGTTGGATCCCCCCACGGCCACTTCGCGAAGCTGCTTGTCCCAGCAGCTGGCCGGCCCGGCAGACACTCTGTTATCCCGCCAGCCGTTCAATCTGCCGGCAGCCAATCAACAGCGCCCACGGAGACACGACTCTTCCAGCCTCCAGACTCCATTGATCTTTACTCTCTGGACAGAATGCCGGCTTCCCGGGTAAGGCGTGGCTGGCTGTCAGGGTCAAACCACTGCGGCAAATCAACCCGGGTTTGACAGCCAGATGCGGGGCCTCACAAGCCGCTGCCCCAGCATTGGGCGCTGACAGTCAAACACAGGGACTGGGGTCGGCACTGCAGTCGTCCGCAGACAGTGCCGCCGCAGGCGTGATGCCGTTTTCTGTATGAAGAGAACGGTGTGGAGGCAACTGGCGGATATGATATGCCCCAGACTGCTGGTCAGGCACGTGTCCGCGGTGGGGCTGTGTGTTGCTGCAACAGGGACCAGGGCAATGGAGTGGGCAGCTGCGATTACTAGGTGCTTGCATGTACTTTTGCTCTCCCAGCCATCCGAGCGGATCTGCTTGGCGAGAACCACCCTTTTCCGCCCTCCACAGCCGTACAGAAATCGTGGGTGTGATGCTAGGACAGTCAAGAAGAGACTAGATTGAGGTGCCAACAAAGTGACAGGTGAAACCTACCTCTGCAGACAGGAGCAACTATTTACAGGAATGCATTCTAGATTAGCTGTTGTAATTGTAACGCTAGCTGCCCGAAGCACTGATGCTGTGCTTTACCAAGCGTAGTACAACATGGTTACATCAACAAATGATACAGCAGGAGAGTAACAGCGTAATAGACAGTACATGGTGTCAGTGCAGCCACATAAGAACAGGCTCCATGCCTGCCATTACTGTACAAGCTGCACAGCCATTGCTGTACAGGCGAGCATCGGCTCGCTGCAAACTGTACAGGTACCTAGTCACTTCACTGCTCCCCAGGCAGCATGGTGTCGCCCTCTGGCAGGTCGCAGTACCCGTTCTCCTGCCAGCCACAGGGGTCACACAAACATGTACAGGAGAGCAAATCATCGACACCTCAATTGCATGCCCCAAGTTGTCAAACCCTGTGACCAGCGAAGGGACCAGAATGGACTTACGCCGACTCACACGAGCCGGCAGGATAAGACTCACCAGGCCAATGAGGTGCGAGACGCACTTCTTCTCTGCCAGCAGCTCATCCTCCGTCTGGTTGGGGGGGAGAGAAACGGAGTGGAATGGAGTGGAATGGAGTGGGACGGAGTGGGTTGGAGTGGGATGGAGTGGGATGGAGTGGGATGGAGTGGGATGGAGTGGGTTGGAGTGGGATGGAGTGGGATGGAGTGGGATGGAGTGGGATGCAGTGGGACGGAGTGGGTTGGAGTGGGACGGAGTGGGTTGGAGTGGGATGGAGTGGGATGGAGTGGGATGGAGTGGGATGGAGTGGGATGGAGTGGGTTGGAGTGGGATGGAGTGGGATGGAGTGGGATGGAGTGGGATGGAGTGGGATGGAGTGGGATAGAGCGGGATGGAGTGGGATGGAGTGGGATGGAGTGGGATAGGAGTGGGATGGAGTGGGATGGAGTGGGATGGAGTGGGATGGAGTGGGATGGAGTGGGATGGAGTGGAAAGGAGTGGGATGGAGTGGAAAGGAGTGGGATGGAGTGGGATGGAGTGGGATGGAATGGAATGGGATGGAGTGGGATGGAATGGAATGGGATGGAGTGGGAAGGAGTGGGATGGAGTGGAATGGGATGGAGTGGGATGGAATGGGATGGAGTGGGAAGGAGTGGGATGGAGTGGAATGGAGTGGGATGGAGTGGGATAGAGTGGGATGGAGTGGGATGGAGTGGGATGAAGCGATGGAAAAAGACTTGGGGCTGAGGCTTAGGTGAGAAATGGCAGGAAGACAGCTGAGAAGCTGGGTTTGAGGGTTGCACATGCCTGTATGCTGCATGCCTGTACGTGCGTGTGCAGTTGGGGTTGCACATGCATGCATGTGTCTGTTTTCTTCTGTGTGAAGAGTGCACGCACATCCATGCAGAGCGTGCGTGCGTGGCTGCACATGCAGGCGCGTGTATGCGAGTGGTGCAGGCGAAAATGAGCCTGTTGTCACTTCACATACATACACCCTCCTGCTCCGTCAAAAATCCTTCCTCTACCTTCGTGATGCATCCCTGACACACTCCTTCCCGCCTTTCCCTTGATTTCAGCCAGAAACCAGACGGCACCATCACAGACTCACTCACCAGCTTCATCCCAGCACAAGCTAACATAGTTGTGCGTTGACTGAACCGCATACTTAGCACCGATTTACTGCCTTACCCAACCTCAACTCTTAACCCGCCCATTGTTCACGTACTTTCTAAAAGTGTGCCCGCTAGCCCTTATTCCACACCCTCACAGCAGCACATGCTCTCACCCCTCACCTTCTTCCTCCATGCCTCACCTTCGTCCTCCATGCCTCACCTTCGTCCTCCATGCCTCACCTTCTTCCTCCATGCCTCACCTTCTTCCTCCATGCCTCACCTGCGCAGGAGCAGCAGTCCCTGGCAGCAGCACCTGCCATGACCCCTCACCTTCTTGATGCGTGCCCGTAGATACTCGTCCACTATGAGCCCCGGCACTACCTCGTAGTCGCCGTCGCCCTGCCAACCACGGGGTTTGAAGGGGGGAAGTGGTGGAAAGTTGAGGGGGAGGAGGGTAGATGCCCGCAGATGCCACAAGGCACCCCTTGCGTGGCATACCATCGGTTGAGAACAAGCAGAGAAAACCGCCAGTGCTTGAGCCCTTGCATGCCGTCCATGTGGCCGAGTGGTTAGTGCTTGCGCCCCGTGGCCGGAGGAGGAGAGACCAGCCCACCTTGGCGCAGCACAGCTGGCTGGAGATAAGGCCCTCATCAACGCCGTATGTATTGCCCTTGGTGTACACGCCAGACGAGAACCAGTCACCGGGAGGGCTAGGGTGGTGAGCACCGAGTAAGAAGAAGCGAAAGAGAGCAGCACAGAGCAGCCTACCTTGGAGCGGCAGGGCAGGCTGAAGATGAGGTCGTCGTCGATGCCGTAGGTATTGCCCTTGGTGTACACGCCCGACGAGAACCAGTCGCCCGGAGCGGTGGGCGTGGTGAGCGCCCTGATGGCGTCCACCAGCGACACGGCCGTGGATGCTGCTGACGACCGCCCCCACTTCTTGATGAGCGCACCGCCCCGCTGCAGCGCTCGAGATTGCGGGGAGTGGAAGGGAGGGGTGAGCGCTCTCATGGCATCCATTCGCGGCCACTGACGACTGTGAGTCAGCCACACCACGCAATACAGCAGTCACTCTTAGACCCGCCCCTTACCCACCGCCTGCACTTGCAGTGTGCACTGCTCCTCCAGCCACTGGCGGTCATGAGTCAACCGTAACACATGCACTTGGCACATGCACTTAGCCCAGCATATGCAGTGAGAGTGAGGCATGTGGTTCTCTGTGACTGTGACCGACAGCACTCAGCAACGCCCACCCACCGTCTGCACTTGCGGAGTGAACTGCTCCTCCAGCCACTTGCGGTCGCGAATGACGTCCGTGGCGGGGAAACCCAGAATGCGCGCATTCACAAAGTCAGGCACCTGGAGAGGGGTGAAGACGAGGAGAGAAAACAGAGGGCTTAAGAGGAGAAAAGAGAAGAAGAGAAGAAGCAATCTCCTAGTTGAAGTGGATTATGTCCGTCTCCATACACCACTCTTCCGAAGATGACCTACCGTGAACGCGATTCCTTACCCGCCTTACCATGGTGCTGAAGGTAAAGGTATCTCAAGCATGCCTACCATGGTGGTGGAGTGGTTGCCCCAGATGGTCATGTTGGAGATCTTGTCGTAAAACACGCCCGCCTTCAGCGCCAGCTGCGGACAGCCACACATGGAGAAAAGGACGCAAATATCGCATTGCGACGCTGATGGAGACACAAAGCTCAAGAGGAGGAGGCGGCCCAGGGACAAAATGGCATGCAGCTAGAGAAGATGCAAAGTTACATAATACCAAGGCGGTAGACGTATGAGCCGCAACAAGGCTGAATGGGGTTGCTCCCCATGCGGACGCCTCTCACCCACCTGGCACTTGGCTCGGTTCTCATCGAGCTTGGTAAGTGCGTGGAAGTTTCTTGGGTTGAGCTTGGGCGCGTTCTTGAGGCAGATCAACGCGCTGTGAGGGAGGGAGGTCAGGCGATGGGAGAAGGCACGCGCAGTTTTGCCCAATGAACCCCTGGTTTGCCGCTTCGGATGGCCACGATCCTGGAAAACTGCTTACAAGAACTTAGAAGGGCAAGCTGGGGCTCACTTGGTGTTGCAGGGGTTGCCGACGACGATGACCTTGACGTTGGGATTGGCCACATCGTTCAGCGCGCGGCCCTGCAGGGAGAGATACACGTGCAGGCCAAGGGGCGGGTACGCACAGTGAGGGTCCAGGGTAGATAGAGTCAGGTAAGGCAGCAAACCAAAGCACAGCGCGTTCACCCAATAGAACCCCTCCAACAGCCAGCTTGCCCGGCCTGCACGTTGGGGCTGGGAACGTTCATTAGTGCCCGGCCTGCACGTTGGGGCTGGGAACGTTCATTAGTGCCCGGCCTGCACGTTGGGGCTGGGAACGTTCATTAGTGCCCGGCCTGCACGTTGGGGCTGGGCACGTTCATTAGTGCCCGGCCTGCACGTTGGGGCTGGGCACGTTCATTAGTGCCTGGCTCTGCACGTTGGGGCTGGGCACGTTCATTAGTGCCCGGCCCTGCAGGAAGCAAGCAAGCGCAGGCAGGCACGGTTTGGGTCGGGAAGCAGCATAAGACGCTCGCACAGGGTTGACTTGAAGCGGAGAAAGAGATTCCTGCCAGCCTCGCCTGCTTCAGTGCAATCTGCCGCCTCCATGTGCGATGAGTACGTGCAGCAACCGCCACACCCGCTCGGAGAAAGCTGCCCGTTGATGTCCAGCTGGTCCGCCCTCTCCATACCATACCCGACCGACCCTTTCACATGCAGGTGGGAGGCCCAGCTGCTGTGGCCTCTAACCTCCCAGTCCACCCAAGCCTCACCTGCTCTGCGAAGATCTGGCCGTTGATGTCCAGCAGGTCCGCCCTCTCCATACCCGGGCCGCGCGGCTTGGCGCCGATGAGCAGCGCCCAGTCGACGTCCTTGAAGGCGTCCCGCGCGTCGATGCTGATGGTGACCTCCCTCAGCAGGGGGAAGAGCGAGTCCTCTAGCTCCATTGCCACGCCTGGCGGGAGCGAAGAGATGCATGGAAGGCATAGGAGGCACGGGGGTAGTAGGAGGGGGCGCGGGGGGCGTGGATGCTGGTGGTGACCTCGCGGAGGAGAGGGAAGAGCGAGTCCTCGAGGTCCATGGCCACGCCTGGCGGGTAGAGAGGGACGCGGGAGACATGAGACATGGCAACACGGGCATGGTTGCGGATGGCGACCATCTGCATGGTGGCGCGCATTTGGGGAGAACAGAGAGTCGTCGACGTCCATGGCCGCGCCTGGCACGTGGTGAGGCACACAGGAGACGAGACATGATGCAAGGCGTCGTGGGCGTGGATGCGATTGGACGAGAATAGAGGGTGCTCAAGCTCCATTCCATAGCACGCAGGAGGTAATGGGAGGGGTGTGAGAGACGACAAGGTGGGGAGGGGTGTGACGCGAGTCCCCCCATTCCGCTATGCGAGTCCCCCCATTCCACTATGCGCGTCCCCCCATTCCACTATGCGCGTCCCCCCATTCCGCTATGCGCGTCCCCCCATTCCGCTATGCGCGTCCCCCCATTCCACTATGCGCGAGTCCATCACGGCAGGGCGGGGAGAGAGCATGGTGGCGCAAGCGGGCGACGAACAGCTGCTTTCAACGATGCTGCTCATGGCCTTCCGAAGGTGGACTTACACGCACTGCACGGTCCGACGAAACTACAACCCATCTCACCCTTCCTTCATCCCCTCTAACCCTCCACCCCTCCCACCCCTCTCACCCTCTCCTCACCCTCGAGCGCCTCCTTGGACCGCTCAGAACCGAGCATGTTGATGGCCACGGGCTGGTTGGGGCCGAACACCTCGCCTGACGCCAGCTGAGAGAGGGAGGGGAGGGAGGGGAGGGAGGGGAGGGAGGAGAGGGAGGAGAGGGAGGGAGGGAGGGGAGAGGAGACGAGAGGGAAGAAAAACGAGGACGTTTGTGCGGGCGCGGGAGCTGCAGGAGGCGACGCTAGACGCTCTCCTTGGCGGCAAACAGCCAGTGAATCACGCGCTATTGCAGCCAAAATATTGCGCATTCATTTAGCACGATCGTAGAGTTGTTACACGGGAAAAAGAAAGAAAGACAAAAGACAAGCAATCATGCTGGCGAGAGACAGTAGTAACAGAGCATTGCCCGCCGCTCCCGAGAGAGGCACGGCGCACTTAGAGAGGCACGGCGGACCTAGAGATGAGCGGTGCACCTTGAAGAGGAAGTGGCGCACCTTGAAGAGGAAGTGGCGCACCTTGAAGAGGAAGTGGCGCACCTTGAAGAGGAAGTGGCGCACCTTGAAGAGGAAGTGGCGCACCTTGAAGAGGAAGTGGCGCACCTTGAAGAGGAAGTGGTTGGAGATCATGCCCGCCGCCCCCGACACCGCCACGCGGATCGTCTTGCTCCACTTGCGCCGCGCGCTCTCCTCCTGGCCGCATGGCAGGCACGAGCACGGGCGACATGGGACGAACGCGAGCAGTGAGTTAGCAGAGCAACCGCGGCCGGGGAACAACACGCTGCGCCAGAGTCGCGGAAAGAGGAACGACTTCGAGACGCTTCGCGTACTATAACCACGATCCGAAATACTAACGACGGCGACCGACGATCGTCTCGGCCAACAACGGCCATCCGCTCCTCACCTCCTTGAGGTCGTACGTGAGGCGGAAGACGCCGAAGCCCTTGCCGCTCGCGCCTTCTCTCTCCGACACCTCCGCGGCAGCACTGAGGCACACACCAGTCCGACGAGGGATGAAGCTGTTTGCGAGATGGATAGCAGCAGCGAGCAGGAATGAAAGAATCTAACATTCTTGCCAACGCCATGCTACGCAGACTGCAAATCAGCAACTTAAACAACAGCAGTGAAACGCGCGGCGCGGCGTCGACGACAAGCCTCGCTGCTCACCTGGGAGCCTCGCCGCTCACCTGGGAGCCTCGCCGCTCACCTGGGAGCCTCGCCGCTCACCTGGGAGCCTCGCCGCTCACCTGGGAGCTTCGCCGCTCACCTGGGAGCCTGGGGGGCCGCGGAGCATCTCGCAGCGCCCGATCGCCGAGGCGCTCGCTTCAGCGCAGCGGCGGGAGCGAGGCTTCGACCCAACGGCCTGTTGAGGCCGACCCGGCGCGCTCCAGGGAGGCCTCCCGTCTGGCAGTCGGCCTCACGCTGCTCGACCCGGCCTCGCGCGGCGACCAGGCACGCTTGAGCTTTTGCGACGACCGCAGCCATTATTGCGTGACGGAGTGATGGGGACCGTGGCGCTGGCGGGAGACTGCGTGCGTCGCTAGCACCGTGAGAAAGTGGGCGGGAAGACTGGCGAACGGAATGGGCACTACTTGAATGACTGGCTGATCAAGTGAAGCTAGTTGATGAGAGTGTCACATGAACTCCTTTTCAAGCCCAGTTTGTTTTTAGATGAATGATTCAGAATCGAGCGCAAAACTTTTACGGGCGAAATGGGCTAGTATAGGGTAGTCTGGTTACCTGATTGGCATTTTTGGGTCTAAAGCGGGTGACCATTGTTGTTTCTTTTGCGTTCCTCGGGCAACAGTGTGAGGCCTCAGAACGTTCCGTCTGCACGTTTGGAGGTCTCAGTATCAGATGTGGTAACTGTTGGAGATCAGTGGGCCTCTGTGGGTTGGGCCGTTCCCCGTGTGTTCGAACAAATAGACCCGTATACGGACACGTGACGTCTAATGAAGGTGTAGTTGGTGCAGACTGGCACACCAGCAACCACGTGGAGAGACCACCTTGGAGAAAAAGAAAATTGAGAGAGGAAGGCGGCACGGTCGCCAGGGTGTGAGGTGTGGTACGGTCTATCACGTTCTCACGGTGTGGAGTGATGTTCCGCGATTGACCAGAAATTGTGGACGAGAGCGGTGGTTGTCACCAGAGGGAGGAGGGGAGGCGGGCAGGGCGAAGAAAGAAGGGTGCGCGGTGCGGTTTGCATCGAACGGCCGTATTGAACCCTACCCAAACACTTTTTATTGTAATTAAAACTTTATAGAACGCGAAGAACCTAGCCTGACCGCATCAAATTGAAATCTGATTGAAAGCCCGACGGCGAGTGTGAACAACTGAAAGAATTTTGCGAAGATTGCCACCAATTGGCGGGACTCCGACTAAGCTGATTGGATGTCTTCCCGCATGCAAGGAAGATTGCCACAAATTTGCATCAAAGTACAAGATGTGGGGACCACGGGAGAAAAAGGCACCTCAACCACAGGCTGACAGGGCACATTCTGACATGGAACATGCGCAATCAAGGAGACATTCCACCAATCAGAAAGTACCAGCTGGAAACATGAACCTGTGGTTGGGGATGGTCTAGACTGAACACATCACCCAACCCATCGTCCCAGTTCAATGGAGCAAGACATTCACACACAAACTGTATCGAGTCCAGATAGAACGAGTCTAACGATTTGTAACAAGTATCTTAACAGAGTATATTTCTTTCCCGACGAGCTCTAACGAGGTTTTGGAAACTCCTGTTATTGTTGCAGGATGCACGAGGGAGTTGCCTCATGAAATTTTGGGGCAAGGCTGCAAAGAAGCCACCGCAGGGGGAGGGGGGGAAGGGAAACAATGAGAGGGGACGAGGATGGGCGAGGGGACGAGATGGTGCCACTCACATACAACCGAGATTGTGACCTCCTCCATGTACAACCTCCTCCATTTGGAAGACGAGCTGTCCAAACCAGCGTGCTGACTACTGCACCAAACCTGGCAGACGAGCCGAGCTCAAAACTGCAACACACCCAGCCCTTCGAGGTCCTGAACGTGTGCCACGACCACATGCTGGCGTACTCCTACCGGATGTCACTCAATCCCCTCTTTGGCCACATGCAGTAAATATTCTAGGTGGTTGGGTTACGGGATGGATATTTTCTTCCCACCATCTCCATTACACTAGCCCTCACTCTAAGCACACTCTTAGCAAGGGCCAGCTCAGGCCTTTTGGTTGGAAATTCAACACTGGCACCCCATAACGGAGCCGCCAGGCATCTGTCTGCCCAAATGCTTCCTGAGATGCGCCTTTGGGAAGAGGGGGATGCAGGGGCACCAAAAGCACCCACGACAACCTCATATGTGCTGGGGCCCGAATAGTGATGGGGGGGGAAGTACATAATTCACATGGAGTAGATGCAATACCCACTGAAAACCTCCCCCACTGTGCCAAAACCAACCTCAGTCAGTGACCAGGATAGTTAGCCAGTGGAGCTCCTGAGCGGACATAGTGTCAACTTATACATGTTAGCTGTGTACAAGTTATAGGCTAGACTGGAGTATGCTTCTAGTGAGTACAACCAACTAGTATTTGTTCTAGGTTTCTACTTCTAGTTCATTATTCAGTTCTTACTTTGACATGGTATCACGCGTAGGTTAGAATCCCCCACCTACCGCTTCCGCTCGTACCCTAGCTAGGCCCCGCCGCTTCCCCTGGGCCCCGTCGCGCCTCCTAGCCCCGTCGCGCCCCCCTAGCCGCGTCGCGCCCCTCCTGGGCCCCGTCGCGCCTCCTAGCCCCATCGCGCCCCTCCTGGGCCCTGCCGTGCCTCCTAGCTCCGTCGCGCCCCTCCTGGGCCCCGTCGTGCCCCCTCTTGGGCCCCGTCGCACCTCCTAGCCCCGTCGCGCCCCTCCTGGGCCCCGTCGCGCCTCCTCGCCCCGTTGCGCCCCCTTTAGTCCTGTCGCGCCCCTCCTGGGCCCCTTTGCGCCTCCTAGCCCCGTCGCGCCCCTCCTGGGCCCTGCCGTGCCTCCTAGCCCCGCCGCGCCCCTCCTGGGCCCCGTCGTGCCCCTCCTGGGCCCCGTCGCGCCTCCTAGCCCCGTCGCGTCCCTCCTGGGCCCCGTCGCGCCTCCTCGCCCCGTCACGCCCCTCCTGGGCCCCGTCGCGCCTCCTCGCCCCGTCACGCCCCTCCTGGGTCCCGTCGCGCCCGCCAGGCCCCGTCGCGCCTGCCTGGCCCCGCCGCGCCTGCCTGGCCCCGTCGCGCCTGCCTGGCCTCGCCGCGCCTCCCTGGCCCCGCCGCGCCTGCCTGGCCCCGGCGCGCCTGCCTGGCCTCGCCGCGCCTGCCTGGCCCCGCCGCGACTCCTTGGCCCCGCCGCGCCCGCCTGGCCCCGCCCCGCCTGCCAGGCCCCGCCGCGCCTGCATGGCCTCGTCGCTCCTGTCTGGCCCCGCCGCGCCTGCCTGGCCCCGCTGCGCCTGCCTGGCCCCGCCTCGCCTGCCTGGCCCTGCCGCGCCTGCATGGCCCCGCCGCACCTACCTACCCCCGTCGCGCCTGCCTGGCCCCGCCGCGCCTGCCTGGCCCTGCCGTGCCTGCCTGGCCCCGCCGCGTCTACCTGGCCTCTCCCACTCGGCCACTGCTTGCCTGGCCCCTCTTCGTCCTTGCTCGGCCTGCCGTGCCACCTCGGGCTCCGTCTACTCTGCTCGCCAGCGCTGGGGCGCCTCGCGATTGCCGTGCTGGAGAGTGCCGCCGCCGTGTCCCTGCGTCGCTGTGTTCCTGCGGAGCTGTGGAGCTGTGCCGCTAACCCTGCACGATGGCTGACTTCGTGCTCCGACTGGACGCCGAGGGCCATGCGGTTGACTTCGCCGCCTGGCTCTTTGATCTCCGCCGCCACCTTACAGGTCAGCGCCAGGATGGCCACTCTTTGGTTGTCCATGTCGATGGCTTGCTCCCCCGCCCCCCCGCACCTGCTCCCCTCCCTGCTGACCCCTCCTCTGATGACCGTGAGACCTACTTTACTGCTGCGCTTGCCTGTGCATTCTGGGACTCCCGCAATGCAGTCGCTCAAGTTGCTATTAGCCACGCCCTCCCTGTGTCTGAGCGCTCGCGTTTTGCTACTGTTGAGACGGCCAAAGCTTACTTAGACGCCGTTATTGCTCGCTATTCCACACCCGCGTCTGCTTCTGCTGGCCGCTTGCTCTTCCCGATGCTGTTCCCAGACCTCGCTGCCTTCCCTACCGTCGCAGACTTTGCCACTCACCTGCGTGCCCTAGAGACCCGCTATCGCACTGCCAGCACTGCTGCCCAGCTCACTGCGCTCCCCCCCCCTTTCTGCATGACGCTCTATTTTATCGCCATGCCCCTGCCAGACCGCCTCGCTAGTGCTCGCGACCACTTCCTTAGCCAGCACCCGGGTGACCTCACCCTCACCGCCTTTGTCGATACCCTCACCGAGATCGAGACTCGCCAGCGCACTATCGCTCAGTCGAGCGGTGCGCCGGCAGTCTCTGTCTTTCATGGTTGTGCCCCCTCCGAGTGCACGTTCACTGACGTTTCGGCTGCTGTCGCCACGGCGACCCCTCTCACCGAGATGGCTGCTGCGGTCCACCCGCAGCAGCGCTCGCGTCGCGGTGGCCGTGGTCGTCAGGGAGGTAGGGGTGGTGGTGCAGGTGGTGGTGGTGGTGGTAGTCGTGACGGTCGTGGGGCCGTCTCCCACCTGGTTGGCCCGGCACCTCCGGAGATAGTGGCCGTGGTGGCGGCCCGCGCAGCTCGGTGTCTACCGGCGGCTCCGGTGCTGTCACTTGCCAGTACCAGCTTCAGACCAGGTCTCTTCGCAGCACTCTGTGCCGCCGCCCGCACCCGACCGCCTGCTGTTTCCGCCGCCTCGACAATCTCTTTCGTCGTCGCTTTGGCCCGGCCCCGGACCTCCTCGACTGGCACAGCCTGCTCCGCCAGGGCGTGCCGATCTTTGAGTTAGACATGGATCAGATAGGTGCTGCTTTGCATGCCTTGTATTCTGACGCTTTTAGTGTTGCTGGATCTTATTTACCCTGTGTACTCTAGTTTAGGTATTGCCCCATTGTGTAGCTTAGCCTCCCCTGCTGCGTCAGGCGTAGGACTGCCTCGTTTGCCTAGCCTAGTCTCTGCACTGGCTCTGTCTCCCTTACAGGCCTCCACGTCCCCTCGTTCTCGAGGAACCTGGTTGGTGTCGGCTGTCTCCAGGACCTCGGCGTCACCACCACGTTCCTCGGGCATGAGCGGCTCGCTGTATGTTCTGAGTCTATCTTGGGTTCCCTTCTTGCAACGTTCCCCTGGGACCCGGTGTCCAGTCTGTTCACCCTAGACACCGCTTCCCCCCCGGTTGGTGCGTCCTCCCAGGTCGCTGCAGCTTGCTCATGTCGGTCCCTCACTCACCCGTCCCTTCTCTGGCACCACCGCCTAGGTCACCCTGCACTCCCACGACTGCGTCGCATGTCCCAGCACGGTCTTGTCTTAGGTCTCCCTGCGTCACTCCCTGCCCTTCCTCCCTCGACTGCGCCACAGTGCACGCCTTGCAACGAGGGCCGGCTCCGCCGCTCTCCTCACTCCTCCTCGCTGGGCCTTGCTGCTTCCCCCCTTCAGACCCTGCACCTGGACGTTTGGGGC